AGCAAGGACAGATCAACTTCCTCGACTTTTTTCCTTAAACTCTCCGTGCCGTCCTCCAACCCTTACTCCTGCCAACCCTTACTCTTTTCCTCCAACCCTTACTCTTTTCCTCCAACCCTTATTCTTTTCCTCCAACCCTTTTCCTCCAACTCTTACTCCTTTCCTCCAGCCCTTACTCCTTTCCTTCCACTCTGTTTCTACCGACTCTGTTTCTTTCAGAGGCTTCAAGCACTAAAGTGCAAAATATCAACCTGGATGTGTTTTCTGACCAGTACAGCAGAAAAATTATCCTGAAATAAGACTAGTGGAATGGGGACTATCAAACCCTCTTCATTCTCGTTATAGTGTTTGGGTTTCTAAGCGAATTCTCCGTGTAAATAACGTGATTTGCTTTTCTGTTTCAAGCAGAGATCAAAGTATAGCTGAAGCATCATAGTGACATGTTCCTGGTAGTCTGTGAGTCTTGCAAGATGTAGTAAAAGTGGACTAATTTAGAGGGGACCTTAGAGGTCGTCAGAGCAAGGAAGGTAAAAGGCACTGGAGAAGTAGGACAAGGAGTCACGCAGTGCCCAAACAATAAAACCCACACAAAATGCAAAAACCCCCTAGGGATTTCACCATGGAACAGCAGAGAAAGTTCAAATCAGCCCAGCTGAGGTCCTCGGGGGCCTTTGGAGACAGAATAAAAAGTCTGTGGCCCACGGCCATGCTGTGTGCCGTGAGCACTCTAGTGCAGGATGGGCTGACTCAGTCTGGGGAGGAGGGAGGAGCTGGCAGGGCCATGTCTGTCAAGACTCCGTACAGCATCGCTGAATTCCTCAGAAAGGACAGGAAGGTTCTCCTCTGGTTGTAGCATAATGCTGGAGAAGTGTTCTTTCTGCAAAAGGTGAGAAGTCTTTGCCCTGACCTTTTCCCTTGGTCTTATTGACTCTCTAAATCCAAGGGAGAGAAATCACATTCACTCCACATCTAGTGTGTGATCATTCCAGTTCCCATTCAATCCACCTCTGTTTCTCATCTCCTCACTCTCAGGCTTTATTTCTCTTTCAGGAATGTATCAAGCCTGTCAAAGTCGAAAAGAAGGCTGGAAAAGCAGCAGCCAAGATCAGAATTGAAGCAGATGGAAGCTACTTTCAGATTGATCAGGTAAGTGGTATTTTTGTCCCTTGTTCTGTAAAATACCAAAAAAACATGAGTGTATTTAACTATTTGAACTATCTACATCCATTTAATGCCTCAGAGAGGACCAAGATGTTAGCAAAGTGTTGCTGCCACTGTCAGCATTCCCATATCCTTTTCCCAAACTTCTTAATTTACAAGTAGTAATTCCAATTTTGTGTCATTTTTCTGCTCTGAAACAGTGACACTAATTAGTGATGATTTCCAGTGTCACAACAGATAAGCTGAGAGGTTTATTTTGCCATCAGTACTCCAGGATGAGCAATTCCGGGTTATCTGGGACGTCTTTTTGTGCTCACTCACAAAGAGATTCAATTAGATTCAATAAATCCAATAAATTAAATAAATCTCTGGGGTTTTAATAATCTTTCAGATTATTTCTGAAATATCCTGCAGAAATAATGCTGATAATGGTGAAAATAATGATAACTATATTGATAATAATGATTATGAAAATAATAATTATGATAACAACAATAATATTCCTGCTTCCAAAATTCCTGCAGAATTCACAGACTAATTTTCCTGTTTTCACAGGAAAGATTGCTATTTCTTAGCTAACCAAGCTAGGAATTCATCTAGGAATTGTACTTTTAATTCGAGGCAGATAATGACTTTTTGACTTTAAAAAAAAAACAGGGATAAAGTGCTTCCACTAATTGCTCTGTCTGTTTCTGATTTATTGAGGAGTGATGATTAGAGGAGAATCCCATGGGAAAACCAACTTACTTAGGTCAGATATGATGAGAAGTATTTCCTTCCAGTGCCAAGCCACACACTGATGGAGTTTGTGATGAGGTTCCTCAGCATATTCCATCTCTGTGCCTAATAATCCTATTTAAAGGAGCAAACTTAGATCTCTTCCTCCTCATCTTAGTGAAAAATAGGCCTTTTTTTTGGTAGACTAATGAAAATAGACTTTTATTTGGTAAAGGTAAACCAAGAGCAAGAAAAGAGCAACATCTTCGTTACTATTAGTAGTCAGAGTGGGAAAGCTGCTCCGGCATTCTGCCCTGAGATCAGAACTGAGTCTGATCTATTTCCTTCTAGGATGGAGGAGCACAAAAGCTGGAGAAGGCTAAAATCACCCTGAATGACTGCTTGGCCTGTAGTGGCTGCATCACATCAGCAGAGAGTGTTTTAATCACCCAGCAGAGCCATGAGGAGCTCTGCAGGATGCTGGCTTTGAACAAGGTGGGTGACAGCTTGTGGTCTCTGCAGAAAAATGGGTGGAAACTGCACCTAAAAACTGAGTTTCAGTGACCTGAGGGTGTTCTGGGGGCACTGTTGTAGTTTTCCTCACTTAAAAGGTTTGGAAGGGTTTAATGTAGCAAATTACCGACTTCGGTTAATCTGCGAGGTGCTTTCTGATGCTCCATTGTGCTGCATATTCTGCCTGTGCCACATGAATGTCTTCTGACAGTGGTTTTGTTTGGTTTTATCCAAGGCTGCTGCTCCCAGTGAACAGAAATTGATGGTGGTTTCTGTTTCACCCCAATCCAGAGCCTCCCTGGCTGCAAGGTGTAAAATGGGCGTGCTGGAGACAGCAAAGAAGTTGACCTCATTCCTGAAGGGTTTAGGTAAGTGTGGAATTGTGATGTTAACTGCAGAGGGAACTGCTGGGGTGAGAGAGCACAAGGTTGATGTGATTTAACCTCCCCATGGGCTCCAAATTGTCCACAACTTCAGGCACAAACTTGGAGAGAGGGAAAGAAGGCTCGGAAAAAGGAGGGAGAAGAACTTTTTATAGGGGCAAGGGAAATGGCTTCCCACTGCCAGGGGGCAGGGATAGATGGGATATTGGGAAGGAATTGCTCCCTGCGAGGGTGCTGAGGCACTGGCACAGGTTGCCCAGAGAAGCTGTGGCTGCTCCGTCCCTGGGAGTGTTCCAGGCCAGGTTGGAGTGCAAACCAAGCAATATTTTATAGAAAATGCAACAGTATCTATTTTTACAACCATCCACAGAGAGACTTTAGAGCTGATCATGAGACTCTGCAGGAGCACAAAGATCAGCTTTTCCCCTGATGGCTGTTTTGAGCCTGGATTAGAGAAGGCTCCGGAGAGACCTTAGATCCCCTTCCAGTGCCTAAAGAGGATCCAAGAGAGCTGCAGGGGGATTTGGAACACGGGCTTGGAGGGACAGGACAAGGGGGAATGGCTTTAAGATTAAAGAGGGTAGCTTTAGATTGGAAAGAAATTCTTCCCCACGAGGGTGGTGAGCCACTGGCACAGGTTGCCCAGAGCAGCTGTGGCTGCTCCATCCCTGGGAGTGTTCCAGGCCAGGTTGGATGGGGCTTGGAGCAACCTGGGCTAGTGGAAGGTATCCCTGCCCACGGCAGGAGGGTGAAACTGGATCTTCAAGGTCCTTCCAACCCAAATCTGTCTATGAAGGAACTTTAAATGTTACATTTGCAGCTCTCGTGTCACTTTTGCTCATCTTACTTTTGTGGCAAGAAGGTTCTCTATTCACTGCAGATGTTGCTACCTGTAAATAAGTTTGAGTCTGCTTTAAGTGGAGGCTTTTTATTGTAGCTTGTGGATTTTAACAGAGGTTCTGTCCTGCCTAGGTGTGCACTATGTTTTTGACACAACTTTCTCCAGAAACTTCAGCCTGTTGGAAAGCCAACGAGAGTTTGTGAGACGCTTCCACAAGCAAGCAGAGGACAAAAAGGCTTTGCCAATGTTAGCCTCAGCCTGCCCAGGTAGAGATTCAGTTAGAACTGGGACAAAAACTCAACAAGCTGATAGAAAGGTTTAAATGGATGCATTTACCTGGAGGATTCTGTCTTCACACTACTAACAGATATTGATAATAGCAGTGATCTGTGCAGCTGCCTGAGGATCTCTTGTGTTACTCTTCCTTTGCTTTCAGTGCTGAAGTGTGGCTGGAAATGGTGATTTCTACTGATGATGATGATGATGATAGCTACTAAACTTGGGGCTGGGGGGAGAAAGGGCTGAGTAAAAGGCTGCTTGTTAGTTTTAAGTAGTATTTATTAATTATATTCTCTCCAGGTTGGATCTGCTACGCAGAGAAAACCCATGGCAGCTTCATCATTCCTTACATCAGCACCACCAAGTCCCCACAGCAGGTCATGGGCTCCTTGGTCAAGGGCTATTTTGCAGAACAGCAGGTGAGGGGCTACAAAATGCTATTATTGACAACCTCTCTCTCCAGACGGGTGTGATTTTGGCTGATCCCAGCTTTGTCTTTCTTGCAGCACTTATCCCCTGACCAGATCTACCATGTCACAGTGATGCCTTGTTATGACAAAAAGCTTGAGGCTTCCAGGCCAGACTTTTTCAACCAAGAGTATCAAACCCGTGATGTGGATTGTGTGATCACCACCGGTAAGCAGACCCACAGGGAGTCAGTTCTGGAGGCCTCAGAGCAAAGTCTTTCCTGCTTCTAATAACCCTTTTCCTCTGACAGAGTGGATGTGATGGATATTGATGTAATAGTGCAAATCATGTCCTGGTATGAAGCAGATGCAGCTTTAGGTATGATCAGTGGGTTTAGGTTTTCCTTTGTCCCAAAAATAAGGACTTTTTCTATCTGTGGTTCTGTTGTAGGAGAAGTGCTAAAGCTGTTGGAACAAGAAGGAGTATCTCTACCAGATGTAGCTCCCGCTTCCTTGGATACCATGTAAGAACAACATCTCAGTTCTCTTTCATCTACTATTTATAGAGTTCTTCCACAGAATTTCCTTGCTCCCTCCTGTTTACACAAGGCTCCCATGTTGTCATTTGATTTGTGTTCCTGTGTCACTTGAACCAGCACAGCTGGGAGTTAAAAATACTGGATGGATTTCCACTGGACAGCCGTTTCCTCCAGTTCCTGTTCCTCACAGGTTGCAGGTGCAATCCCCCAAAAACCTACCTGCAGGCTTTGGAAAGGGAAGGAATGTGGCTCAGGGATAAGAGTTGGCTGTACTGCACTGTCTCTATTCGTAACTGTCAGAGGTACTGTAAGGATTCCAGAATTAAAGCATGAGTAAGAAATATTTAGGTCACTCAGCTAATCTCTAGAAGACTGTTTGTGGGGAAAAAAAGGTCTAAAACATGTGCAAAGCAGATGAGACTTCAGTTGCTTCAACTGAAAAGGAACATCTGGGCAAGTGACAACTGCACAGAGATCTGAGTGACTACGGAGACAGTGAAATCCCATTTTACTCCTCTGATATCAGTGCTGGTTTAGCACTGAGCACTAACCAAAGCCTTTTCTTCAGGGTAAAAAATGTCTTCAGAGCTCTTGGTGCATTAATAAACAGAAAGGTTATATGGGCAGCACCTTTTAGAATTACCTAAGATGATTAAGTATAGAATCCTGGAATGGTTTGGGTTAGAAGGAACCTTAAAGGTCAGGTACTCCATGCCCTGCCACTAGCCCAGGTTGCTCCAAGCCCTGTCCAACCTGGCCTGGAACACTTCCATGGATGGAACAGCCATAGCTTGTCTGAGCTATCTATGCCAGTGCCTCAGCACCCTCACAGCCAGGAATTCCTTCCCAATATCCCATCTAACCCTCCCTCTGTCAGTGGAAGCCATTCCCTTTGTCCCATCACTCCAGCTCCTGATGCAGATTCCCTCTCCAGCTTCCTTGTAGCCCCTTCAGACACTGGAAGGAGTCCTCAAAGCCCAACTTCAATCATGGCCCATGTCAACAGGTACTTGTGTTTCACCTGCTCTGTTGTTGCACCACAAACAGGAAACTGAGGACAAAAAAGACTTTTCAAATGTTGGCATTCCCTTAGGGAATGACAATCTGGAAGCATCAGTTACAACACAGAGCTGCACATCCAATTACTTGATAGAGATCTCTGTCCAGCTGCTCAGGAGAACACTGTGAGCACCAAGGCTGGTGCTCACAGTGAGCAACTGCCTCTCTGACCTCTGCTGACTCCCAGTGCCTGGCTGGTTCCACACGGCACGTATTCCCTGGGATCTGGAGCCTGCAGAAAGCAGCCCAGTGCCTGTTGTCCTGCTTTATCCCCCCAGCACATGGAAAAGCCCATTAAGGTTATTGTATCTGGCAGCAAGAATGGAACAAAGTGCCAGAAATCCCGGGAGTGTTGCTGGGATAACCAAGTGCTCCAGGCTGGAGCAGCCTGGCAGTGGTGTTGGAGGAGAGGAGCAGTACGTGAGACCAAACACTGAGACGTAAGGCAAGAGCTCAGTTCCTGTAAACAACAGCAAAGTAAAAATAGCTCCTGGGGGTGTTTGCAGGCTGAAGTGCTGCTGCAGCTCTTCCCCAGCTAAGATTTATCTGCCAGAGGCAACATCTTCCCTTGGAATGAAAACCTTGGCCTGAGTTCAAGTGTTTTCCCTGCTGCAGCTGTTAGTGGCAGAATCCAAGTGTCAGTGCCAGATGAAGGCTGCTGAGAGCTCCTTCATCTTGTTATTGTCTCCTAACAAAAGCCATAGTTGTGGCTTCCATCTCTGGAGCTGTTCCCAAGCAATGTTACCATGACCTGTGCAGAGCTGGTTGTGTTTTGGCATGGCTGGAGATGGTATTGTTTGTGCAGAGCTGGAATTGGAGGAGTTATTCAACACCAGAAATGTGTTGAACTTGCACCAGGATCCTGCTGAGAACATCCATGGAGAGAGCCAAATCCTGGCACTGTGAGAATCCTGGAATGGGCTGGCTTGGAGGGGCCTTCTAGGTTAGCTAATCCACTCCCTGCCATGGGCAGGGACACCTTCCACCAGCCCAGGTTGCTCCAAACCCCATCCAGCCTGGCCTGGAACACTCCCAGGGATGGGCCAGCCACAACCTCTCTGGACAACTAGTGGTTTGTGACACTGTTCCCACAGACCTCTGGGCAGCACTGGGTTAAATCTGGCTCTGGAGCTATAAATAGCTAATTCCCAGGAGAAAGGGACAAGCTGGAGCTCTAAGGGAGCTGATCTGTGGCTTCTTTGTTGTTCTTAAGTCCCCTGGACCTTTGTGTTGGCTGTTTGTTTGACCCAGAATTCCCCTAAAACTGCTCCCTTTTGCCCAGGTTCAGGAATGCTGCAGCAGAGGAGCTCAGCACCCACTCTGGAGGAGGTTCTGGGGGATACCTGGAGCACATCTACAAACATGCAGCCAAGGAGCTCTTTGGAATTCAAGTGGATACGATTGAGTACAAACCTCTAAAGTAAGAAAATCCTACAGAAAACACTTTTGTTTTGGAATCCTGTCCATGCTGTTACCTTGCTGATGGGCTGAAACTGTCTTTGCAATGTGAAATATTTCACTTCCAGGCATGAGAATTGGCTTCTGAGGAATACTGAGGAATAAATCAGCCAGCTCCATGCAGCCTTTCCCATGGAGATTGTCAGCCCCTCTCTACCCACACGCCTTGTTTTGGCCAGGTGGATTTTCCCAGTATCAATTGCAGACAATTCTTACAGGAATTTCAGAGCCAGAGCTCACATGGATTTGAACTTCCTCACCTGCAGTCAGAGAATAAAGTAGACTCACCACTAATTATTGATCACAGAACAGAAAACCTTGTGTGAAAGCTTTGGGGCTCTGCTTGAACTAGATTAAGACACACAGGTCACACCAGTTTGGGCACTGAGGCTCAGTCACCTGAGATTCTTTCTAGCATCACAGTTAAAATTTAATGTATCATTTATAATTCATTCTATCCCTGATGAGCAACATTTATGTTAGGATTCTCTGGGCTAGGAAGTAGAAGAAACAATTCCAGTATGAAATACTTGATAAAAAATCAAATTACTTACTTTTTTTGACCAGGATCAGCTATTACCACTATGCTTTGGAGTCTGGAATCCTTCAGTCATGGTTTGCTCCCTGGTTTATGACCCACTACAAGTTAAAAACTCCCTCAGTGGCTGAAGCCAACTCAGAAGCCTTTCACTGTGACTGTGAAAGGCTCCATTTGCTGAGCTTTTAAGGGTTTATTCAGCACAGTTGTTCCTCAACAAACTCTGCTCAGGTGGTACATCCTCAAACAAGCCTGGAAGGTGATCCCTAAACCAGTTCCTCCCGGTTTTGTTTGGGTGGCAGAGAATTAGGACAGCTCTTAAATGAAGCTTCACACAGAACTTGGCTTAGGACAGAACCCTTTGAAGTTTAAAATAGAAGTTCATTTGGATAAGACATTTTCTCTCCTCTTGTTCCACAGGAACAAGGACTTCCAGGAGGTGACACTGGAGAGGGATGGGGTGGTCCTGCTCCACTTTGCTTTGGCCTATGGATTTCGGAACATCCAGAACTTGGTGCAGAAGCTGAAACGAGGGAAATCACCTTATCACTATGTAGAAGTCATGGCCTGTCCCTCAGGTGAGGCTGCTTGGGGCTTTCCCTGTGACAAGAGCTGTGAGAAGCTCTGAAATTAAGCTTAAAGCACAAGAAAAATAGGTAGTTTGTGCCTTGGGGCAAAGCTGTGAGCTCTGGAGGTGTGACAGTCACAGCATCACAGTTCGAGTTGTGGATCTGTTTTCCTTCCTACAGCTACTAACTCCTCAGGATTCAAGTAATTACAGCTAATTCCACCACACTAAATTTTATTAATTAGTGTTTTTTAATGAGGGTTTCCTAATTTTCTGAGCTCTGGTACTTGAAGGGATTTTTCCCCCTAAAATTGCGTAACAGCTTTCAGGGATCTCTTGCTGTGACTGGTGGAGAAAGCCTCTTCCTATTTTATTCCATTTTCCACTCCGGTTCCTTTTCCTCCCTCCTGGCATTCTTGGAATCTGCCAGCAGGGAGCAGAGGCAGCTTGAATCCAGCCTGAGGTGACGCTGAGAGGCCACTTTTGGAGCCACTTTGAGGGTCTGCACAGCTCACAGCACCAGACACTGCTCTGGACAACCACACACCCACACAGTGTAGCCAGAAGAGATCCCAGGCATGTTTATGTTTGGGTTGAGGCTGTTCCCACTTGGAATGTGCTTTGACCCTTTCCCGGAGCAGGAGATAAGAGCTGGAGCTGCTGGCAGGTCCTTGCCTGCCTCTCAAAGTGGCTGCAGGCACACCCAACACTGCATCTCCCTCCCCTTAGGCCTGCTGCTGGGAGATAACTGGGAGTAACCCTCAGTCCCAGTGGTGTTTGCATTTCTGGTGCTGCTTGCAGGTGCAGAGTAAATTAAGGGTAGTTTTGAGGGGGTTCTCTGCTGAAGCTGAAATTCCTTCTCTGCTCCCTTTTGTCCTCTTGTTTCCACAGGGTGTTTGAATGGAGGAGGTCAGATTAAACTGGCTGGGGAGTCCAGCAAGGATGAGCTGCAGCAAGTGGAGAGGTTATATGAGTCTCCAAGGACTGAGATTCCAGAGGAGAACCAGACTGTGGCTGAGCTGTATGAGCAGTGGCTCTGTGGCTCAGGCTCAGAGAAGGCTATGGAGGTGTTGCACACACAATACCATGCAGTGGAGAAAGCAAACACCGGTTTTAGTATCAAGTGGTGAACTGACAAACCCAGAGACAGACTCAGTCCCTTTTTAACTCAGCTCTGTTTAATATTCTCAAAGGACAGCTGGAGTTGTGTGCAATTCCTGCCTCAGGTTTGGGAGAAGGGAATGTGCATCCAGGCCACACTATTGATTCCTTCATCTTTATCAGTATTGATGTAAATAAAACCCAAACACTGACTTTAAAACACGTCAGGAGAAGCATAAATGCATCCTAGCCTCTGCACAGGCTGTAAGGACTGAATGTGCACTCCTTTGCCACACTATTCCTGCCAGAATTCAGACTGCATCTTCTCCAGGCTGAGCTTTATGCTACACCACATTTCTCAGCCAGGCCTTGCTGTATTGTCACAGCACCCGATTTGCGGCTGTCTCTGCTGCAACATCCTCATTTAGTGATAAATGGTCTAATTAGACCTTAGGTTTTCACATTTCACTGCCCCTGGGGTGCAGATGCAGGTTCTGTGCCCTCAGGGAGGTGAAGACCTACAGCCTGGGATCATCCCTGGGACTGGTTTAGTGCCTGCTGAAATGGGACTTAAATGAATGTTGAAGAAGAAAAATCTTGGTTTGGTATGGTTTTCTTTAATTACAACAACTGTCTATGCTGTGAGCAATTAAATCTTTTTCTCCTTAAATACACAGGAGAGAGCCAGGGAATTGTTGTATCAACCCCATCCTCAACAGTCACTTAAATTCAGAGGAAACCATCAGGTTCTGATGGATAATATCCTTAAATACAGACAAAATAGTCAGTTACTGAGGGATAATATCTTTAAATTCAGATAAAAGTATTTTTACAGTGTTTCAAGTAAGAATTTATTGCCAACTTTCTTCCCAGTGAAGAACAAAGTCCTCAGTGCCTCTGCAAGGTGTTGCTTTACACACAGTAGTAGAAAGTAGCTATGAGGTGAGATCATTACAGGCAGTTTCCCAGAACAATGCAAGAGGTTGTTGAAAACGTGGTTTGATGCAGATAGCTCTGTTTTGTCTATTTAATGTGAATATCAGTTTTCTGGAGTTGTGATGCATGTGAGGAGGGGAAGGAGAGGATGTACCTGGACTGGAGGTGAAGGGATACTGCAGCTGTGACTCTCCTGGTGACAGCTGCAAGTGACTGTCAGCTCCAGAATCCCATTAGGACTCCCTTGTCCAGTTCCTGCTCTGTGAGGAACCAGGACTGGGCAGTAGGTGGAGTTCAGTGGATGAAACCTGCAAACAAAGGTGCCAAGTTGCTTTGTTCCTCAGGTAAATATACAGAGCTGGAGCTGATGCCTGCATCCAGCCCAGGCTGAACCATGGAGCCTGAGCACAGAATTCCAAAATCCTTGAGGTTGGAAAAGACCTCCAAGATGATCAAGTCCAACCTGTGACCCATCACCACCTTGTCACCTAGCCCAGAGCACTGAGGGCCATGTGCAGCTGATCCTTGAACACCTTCAGGCATGGTGACTCCACCACCTCCCTGGGCAGCTCTAATGCCTGACAGCCCTTTGCATGGAGAAATTCCTCCTGAAACTGCACTGACCTTCCCCCAGTTACACACCTTGAGCTTGGGGCTCTCAGGACCCAAAGCTGACACACCTTCACCTGCCTTTCTCCTCCTCAAAGCCTCCTCTGCTCCTTATTCAGAGGAAACCAATAGTGTGAATGATGTTTTTTATGTTTGTAATTAAAAGCTTTACGTTTTTCAGGTGTTGCTGAGCAATCAGTGAACTCACAGTGTTCTAAGGCAAGAATCTCCCACTGTCTCTCCCTCCCCACTCTCCTGAGCAGCAAGGTGGTGGTTTCCCTTGTCTATGCAGGGATTTGTATCTCCCAGGGTTAGGCTAAACCATGAGGCACGGTGGCCAGGGAGAGGTGCCAGTGCTCACACAGCGTGTTGTAGTGCTGAGTCATGGCTCAGTCCAGAGGGAGCACAGTTGGGGTGTGCTGAGCACATGCACATCAGGCCAGAAGTGCACAATAAACAAACAGAGCTAAATTAGCTGTAAATTAAATAGTCAGGGCTCTATGTTTTGTTTCTTCTCCAGTTCTCAGGTTATCAACACATCCAGAACACACTGAGATCTCCATTCCTGGGCATCCTGAGTGTTCCTGCTGTGGTAGCAGGAACAGAAGGAATTTTTCCCAGCCCTTGTGCAAAGGCTCAGGGCTAGCTCAAGGACCCTCCCCAAACCCACACAGATGCATCCCTGCTCCCAGGGTAAATAAGATTTCAAAGGAACACCCAGGTATCACCTACAACACCGTTCCATGTAAACTGGGGAACCCTGAGGCAGTAGTACCAAGGCAGCTCATGCAGCAGGATTGATCCTTCCCCTCCTGTGGGCAAGAAGAAATCTATACCTTAATAAAGTAAATCTATAACTTAATAAAGTAAATCTAAACTATAACTTACAAAAAAGAAACAATTAAACTTCAATCCAATTTGCAGCAAGGGAGGAAACAGCTACAAACCAAACTCCAGTGGCAATGGTGCATGAAAGACCCTGAAGTCAACTCTATTCCAGTGTTGAGAGCTAATATCAAACCCTAACTTTCTCCCCCAAAAAGAAAACTACTTCACTGGTCTAATGTGCCTCTCCGTCACCTGCAAGTAAACTCTACATGTTTCTGAGACACAAAAACAACCAAATCCAGCCCTGACTTTGCACAAACTAAGGCTGAAGAGGCCTGAGAGCCCCAGCTGCTCCCTGGCTCTTGGTGTAGCGAAAAGGCAATGTCCATGTAGCTTGCAGCCACGTGTTTCCCAGCTTTTTTCCTGGAGGAATTAACAAGCAATGGATACATGGCAGCACATTGCTGTTTGCTGCCTAACATCTGTCACACCTTGGGAAGTACCTCCCAAAGCCAGTGAACTCCACCACAAATGGTTTAAGGGGTTCTAATGGCTCCTGGAGGCAGTGGTTGTATTGCCTATCACTGTGCAGTGTTCCTGTGTGGCCTACTGGAAAAAGAGAGGGGAAAACGGGAAAAAAAACCCCATCCAAAGCCCACTCTGACGAGGGTTTCTGTAAGCACAGGGCTGAAGTCAGGTAGATACTGCTGACACCAGTGAAAATACCAGTTCCTTTCCTGGTTTCTCCTGGTGCAGCCATGTCCCTGTGCCTCATCCCTGCCTGTTCCCATCCTGAGGGGCCCAGGGTGGCTGGAGAGGAACAGGCAGGGCCAGGAGGGCTTCCAGGGACTCTGGAGCTGTGTGGTTGCCAAACTCTGCTCCAGCTGACCCCTGGAAGGAGAATGTAGCTTCAAAGCCTGGCAGGAGTACAGACAGGAGAGCCTGACAGCCTGGTGACCACAGCCCCACAGTCCTAGAGCATCTCCCCCTTTTCCACACTCTTCCTTGACTCCTTTCCATGGGCACAGGGCTGGGTGACGGGTGACAGTTCCTGCTCCCCCTGACCCCATCATGAGCACAGATGTCCCCTCCTCCAAAACATCTTTACCAGCAGCAGCCACAGCCCAGTGCTGAGAGGTCACTGCAGTCTGGTCTTGCTGAAGGCATCCACATGCTCCTGCTCCACAGGGAGCTCCATGGTGCTGGGGAAGAGAGCAGAGCAGAGCCTCAAACAAACAGATGAAAGGCAGAAACCACTTCCCAACTGGGAACAAGTCCAAGCTGGCAGGACACAGCCAGGAAGGAGGCCCTGGCACGATGGGGAGGTCACTTCTTCTCCAGGAAGGGGTCGAAGAGGCCCCAATCAAATGCAAGCACAGCCTGTGGGTTGGGTCTTTCCTTGGGCTTCTTGAAGTTGTCCCTCTCGATGCGAAGTGTCCTCAGCACCTCCACAGGGTCTGTCTTCCCTGTGAACTTCTGCACGGACTCCTCCCTGCAAGGACAGCCCTTCTGTGACAGCAGGGGACAGGATGGGACCCCTAACCCACTGGGACCCCAGTGCACACCATGATGGGTAAGGAGGAGTCACATCTGAGCACTGCTGAGGCACACAGAGGTGGTCTGGGGGTACCCCATGCTGGGCAGTGTGGGACACCACGTCCAGGTGCCGTCCCCTCCCTCAGGGCTTGGATTTCCCACTGCTTAGTGAAGCCATTGGGAGAAGGGATGACACTGGAGGGGAAAGGGGAGCGGAGTTTGGAGGTAGGACCCGTGGTGGGGCCCTGACCCCATGGTGGGGCCCTGACCCCATGGTGGGACCCTTCACACTCCCCAGGCACCAGCACTGCTTACATGACACGCAGGAAGGGGTTGTAGAGGAACTCCTCCTGCAGCGTGGAGGGCACCGTGGGCAAGTCCTCATCATCCCTCTGCTGCCAAGTGACCAGAGACATCCAACACTCTGCTGGCACCCAACACCCCTCAGCTCCCACCCCAGCAGACGCACAGACACTTACTTTGGCCCATGCAAGTTTCTCCTTCACCATTTCATTCTCTGGTTCCACTTTCAAGGCAAACTTGAGGTTTCGGACGGTGTACTCGTGGCCACAGAACACCTTCTGCAAGGCCAGCAGGAAGCACCTGGCATCAAACCTGCTCCTGGTGCTGGGTCCAACCCATCCCAGCCCTGAGCAGTGTCAGCCTTGAGCCCCCTGCAGACACCAGGGTCCCTCCCCAGGCTGGGGCTGAGGTGAGGGACACTCACTGTCTCCTTTGGCAACGTCCCCAGGACTTGGGTGAGGTTGGTGTACATCTGCTCTGCTGTGCCCTCGAAGAACTGCCCACAGCCTCCCACGAACAGGGTGTCACCTGCAGGGAAAGGGGTCTGGCCATGGAGGGGAGACTGGTCCCATGCCCGGGAATGGGGTACCATGAGGTGCCACCATGTGCTGGATTCACCCTGTGAGTGCTGGGTGTGGGGACAGGCAGCACACAGGTACTTGTCCCATGTCCCTGGAACCCATGGGGACATTCTGGCATGGCGAGATACCTGAGAAGAGAGCTGGAGCATCTGGAGAATCGTCCTCCCACATGAAGTAGCACATGTGGCCCGAGGTGTGGCAGGGGGTGAAGAGGCATCTCACCCTGATGGCCCCAAACTGCAGGGAGAGAGAGTCAGGGTCCCACTGAGGGGGACAAGCAGACACACCCACACCCCATGGCATCACCTGTCCCAGCTCAGCAAGTCACAGATGTGCCCGGGGATGGTGGTTTGGATGAGTCACAGGTGGCACATGTCTGCTCCATCGAGGACAAGGCTGTGTCCTCTAGCACAACCCCAAACAGGCTGAGAATGGGAGATTTCTCCTCTGAACCAGTGCCAAATCCATGGTGCCACATCTGCAACCACCCCAAGGCATAAAGAGCTGAGCACAGCCCAGCCAGCACCAATCCATTAGCTCCCAGCATGGTGCCACCCTACTGGAGACCACGGTGACACCCTAGTGGGGACCACAGCCCCACCCCACTGGGGACTGTGCCACCGGACAGGTCCCATGTGTGGAGTCCAGGCTCCAGGGTGCTCTCCTGGTCCTACAGCCACGCACCGTCAGCTCCTGCTCGTGGGTCACCTTGTGTGTGAGGGCCCCAATGCGCTGGTCAGCACCATACACCCTCAGCCCAGGGCACAGCCGTACCAACTCCTCGTTGCCCCTTGCATGGTCCCTGTGCAGCAGAGGAAGGAATGGGCACCTGGACCTGCAAAGGGCATGGCCATCCTGACCCTACTGTGCCCACAGCACTTACCAGTGGTGGTGGGTGGTGAGGATGGCCCTGAGCACCACATCCTCCTTTCTGATAATCTCCAGCAACTGAAATGGATGCAGAGCAGGAGGATGTGAGAGGGTGGAGAGGTGACACGCTCACCAGCTGTGACAACTGCCATAGGACCTGTCCCCTGTGCACTGCTCTGCAGGCAAGGAGTCCAGCAGAGCAGAGGAGAAGAAGTCACCCAAAACCACCTGCTGAGCAGTCATGGACTACAAGTGGGATGATCCCTTGGCTCGTATAAGAATAGTGGTGTTTTATGGCTGGTGCTTTCATAGTGGAGGTGTCACAAGCAGTGCACAGTGTCACCACCATGGCAGGGAAACAGCAGCCATACAACCTGCCCTGGTCACAGCAAAGGACCACGCAGGGCTGCCAGCTCAGCTCAGCTGCCAGCAGGTTCCTAATGCCAACTTAACATGTAGGGCCAGGAACCAACCCTCTGGCTCAACCAACACCCTGGCTGCTCCTGATTACACTCCTCAAAAGAGGAAGGAAACGTCCGAGTCAGGAGCAAACGCTTAAAAGCCGCGACAGCCTTTGCACGATGCACGATAGCCCAGGGGGGTGGCACCAGGGGACACCAGGTACAGAGGTCCTGGGGGTCACAGCGACCCTGACCACTGCCTTCCAAGCCTGCCTGGCTCCTGGAAAACAGTACTTTGCATGCAAGACCTTGCTCAGAGGTCTACTGTGGGTTATTCTCGCTGTGGAGTCTGCAACGCTCCATTCAGCTGTGACACAGGGAGCTGATGGTCAAAGCAACGTGGAATACCCCCCAGAGCCCAGGGGTGGCGGGAGAGGGGCTCAGCTCCGGGGTCTGTCCTGCGGGTTTGCTCCATGCACAGACCGCACTCCAATCCCCCATGTGACACCGTGCGCGAGGCCACCACCACGGGCACATCCCCCGCAGCCCACCGGGAATCGAGCGCCTCTCACCCTCTTGGGCACTGCAGCATCCACCGCCACCGCGTCCCGGGTGCTCTCCTCGATCACCAGGTACATGTAGTTGTCCTCCAGCACAGAGATCACTTTCACCTTCATGGCCCCAGCGCCGGGCACGGGGGGCTCGGTCTCACGCAGCAAACCGCGGGGTGCGGGACCCGGGGCGGTCGGTC